CGGGGGTTGTCCGGGGGGGGGGGGGGATAGTCGCAGCTGGAATTGACTGATGCATAAATGATTGTCTCGCAACAGTTATGAGACAACATTGCAAGTCATATATTACATTGTGGCGCACGAAATATTTCATCATGCCGCACGAAATATTTCATCTTGCTGCACGAAATATTTCATCTTGCTGCACGAAATGACGCATCGTGTTGCACGAACTAACTGATACATTGTGTTGTGCTCACTACGAGGTTTTCCAGTCATCCAGTGTTACTAGGAAAACAATTAATTAAAATTATTAATAATTATAACCAGGCAACTGCATATTGTAGGAATCAAATTCATCAAAGACGATGGGATATAAAATATGGTAAGAATACCTAGGCCGGCCGCCCTGGTGGTACCCTAACTTGGCAATTGCATATATAGATATGGCACTAATTTCATCAACCAATGATGGATTTATCATTTAAGAAGAACAATTTAGAACGGAAGGGATATAAAATAAATAAAGTCAGTTTAGTCATTTGGTTAACCTCCTCATGTAATATGATCAGTTAACTGATTAGCGCCATGCAAATGGCAAGGCTACAGTACTTATACATGGATAAGAACTCACCACCAATCTCTGTATAGGCATGATACTCTCAACAGATAGAGCAGTGGACTAGATTTCTGAAGATTGAGAGTTCAAATCTCTTGTACTTATAAAGGATATTACGAATTCACCACCAATCTCTGTAGGCTTGGTAGTTCAACAGGTGGAGCAATGGACTGGATTCCTGAAGGTCGAAAGTTCTAATCTCGTGGACGTATATAAAGGACAAGCAATCACATCAAAAGGTAGAAGAAGAGCGGACTTGGATGATTGCCGTCCTTTGAGGGTGAAAGTTCAAATCAAGCGTGTACGTATAAAGGACACGAATTATACCACCAATCTCTGTAGACTTGATAGCTCAACACAACAGTGGATTCCTGAAGGTTGACAGTTCAACTGTCGTTTACTTATAAAGAGTAGAAAAACTCAACACCATTCAACTATAATAATTTTCTACTAAAATTTATAAGCTTGATTGCTACGGCGGAGTTTTGCTATACATTTTGCTAAGATCAACATGAACGCACCAGCTGTAACATTCCTGGAACATGTATGCAGACTTGTAGCATTGCTGTTCCAACAACTTGTCAATTTAACAGGATGTGTTCGCACTGCTTGTCCCAGCTTGTTGACAACTCGCTACAAGGTTGTTGGTCTTGTAGCAATTTGATAAAATAACAGCATTGTTAAAACTTGTTGACAAGCTTGCTATACATGCAAGCCCGTTGCGAACACATCTAGCTTGTTGACAATTAGTTGTGAGATTTTTACTTGTACACAGGAGGAAAGTTATTAACTAAAAGAACCTTACTTATCGTGAATAGCTCGATTATAAAGGCCCGTTTACACTTGCAATTTGTACTGCGATTTAGGTGCGATTTTCTTCATCTGCATTGTGAACAAGTGTATAAAGCATAAATGTTCAGATGAGGGTACCCTACATCAGTGAGACATGCATGTATAGTTAGAACATTTACAACTTATTTACTCGTTCACATGTATCAGAAGAAAATCACACTAAAAATCGCGGTAAAAGTGTAAACGGGCTTTAATGCAGTTCTGCCTATACTTGTAGACTTGCATGATTACCTTGATAGCTCTATAACACTATAGCTTAACAGGTAGAACATGCAGTGGACTATATAGGTTAATTAAGTTTGTAAATAAACGGATCAGAACTCTATGTCCATGATAAAGTCGCCTAAATCCAAGCTACAATCTCACACATAATTGGAGATTTTACATACTTGCAATGTTTCATTCTTCAAACATGCGATTATCAAGAAAAACCATGCAGTATAAGTCCAAGAACTCATCCTGATTAATTTATTATAAGTTTTTGTCCGGCTGAGAAGAACAGGTTTCTTACGATATTTCAAATGTTGCAAAGAAGTAAAAAACCCAAATTAGCGATAGATTTAAATGTTTTTAAGCCATTGCATCATCTTTGAGCCTTTTCCACTTGCGATCCAGCGACTGCCAACAGTTTTTCACCAGTACCTGTAAGAAAGAAAAATAGAAATCACTCGTAAATAAATATGTCATGCAGCGTTTGTGCTGCTGATAAAAGGTTATAGCCATTGATTGGTTTGGGAACATCGTGAGCACAGGTGAAACTAGGTGAAGCAAACGTTGCGTGAGTGAAAGCGAGTCTTTTCGCAGTAACTGCATGAATGACATACCCATTGATTCGGATATTCGTTCAAACTCACTGAGAGCAGCACTTGTATTTTTCGCAAGAAATTCAACTTCTCCCGGTTTCAACTAAAAACAAGAAATACAGTTTCATGAATCAGTTCCGCGCAAAATGAATGATCTTAATTGTTTTGCTTTGTAATACTGGGACCGGTTGTATAAAAAAGTGATTAAAGTTAACTAGTCTAACTATAGTTGGTGGAAACGTCATCCAATATAAGAAGCGCGTATTTGAGTTAATCACTATTTAACTACAAAATAGTGATTAAAAAAGTGATTAAGAGTTTTATACAACCGGCCCCTGGTTAATATATTCTTAATTACGCCTTACGGCTTTCGATCCGTAAGCTTGCATGGAACTTTATCAATGCAAATATTCCTTTCTTCCAGGAAAGCGGAAACCCTTGCCAGGCAATGAGTGGTATACAGTACAACCTCCAATGAAATCTTCTGTATATGGATATTACCAACGAAGAACCATGCAGGTTTACTCGAAAGCTTTGCATGCGAAATAATAAACGAGGTTCCATTTATCGCCTTGAAAACTTACAAGGAAATTTCTACGAAAGATTTTTTCTAATGCATGTACATGAAATGGAGACTTAAGAGTTGAGTGAAGATAGCTTTCAATGTTTTATCATCTACTTACCGTTTCGCCTAGCTTCTTTAAAGCTGTAAGCATTTCAACTGCTTGTTGTGTGTAGACATCTTCACTGATCTGGCCAGTTTTAACATCTCTTTGGAGCTATAGAATAAAAGAATAAAAAGTTGGAGTTTTGTTTTGGACAGATCTATGGAATGAGTTTTATTTCAACTGATAAATAACTCTAACAGTTCAGTCGAAATTGTTCTCTTGACATCCAGCAATGCATGTCCAGTATTAGTACAGGAGGCCAAAACCTAATTTTATCAACCCATTTTATCACCATGCACTGGACAGTTCTATCAGATCTTGATGAACTCGGTGACATGCATGCATACATACATACCTTATACAATGGGCATTAGCGAGCTTAAGATGCACCAAATCTACGACGCGGACGTGACATAAAAACCGTTGCTAATGTTTGAAATCCAGTTTTATTTTGCTTTACTAGTGTCTCTGACTTTGTTACAGTTTTTCTTCACGTCCGCGTCGTAGATCTGGTGCATCTTAAGCTCGCTATTGATTTCTGAAGAAAATCTAACTATTCTAGTGTTACTTAGACAAAATAAGAGGAGGTCAGACTTTTAATACGGCATATAGTTCTAAGTATACTCTTCTCACATCATGGAACTGAGCCAAAATTATAATCAGACCGCATCATATTCCTGGAATCAAATCCAGGTCAGAGATGAAAGTCACATGCACTAACCATGCACTGTGTGACCAACACTGCTACATCTGTACCACACTGTACCTCAGCCAATCTGTTCCTGAGCTGTCCTGGTTGTTTCTTCGCAAACATTCGGATTACTTCAGGAGTTTTGAATGCATCACTTATTGCAGCTTGTAATGCCTATGACAGGATAAAGGATCGAAACTGATAAATGCACGTTTGGTACAATTTCGAAGTCTCTGCAGTCACATGCAGTAATAACATCTCATGTATAAAACTTTGACGTAACAATTTTTTACGTAAATTGCCACACACTTTGATCAAACTATACTAATTTGTTCAAAGAAACGTTGATAGTAAAAACCAGTCTTAAAAATAATAGAGTTACACTACATACCCTTAATTTGATCAAACTGTACGGTACTATTAATTTGTTCAATTAGAGACTCTGATAGTATATAGTACCAGTCTCAAAATAGAGTTACACTTTACATATACTTCAATCAAACTGTATTTTGTTGAAAGAAACTTTCAGAATGAGTTATTTCAGACGTGAATTTCACATCGAAAATTCTAACAATTTATTATAATGTAGATCGTTGTATCTGGTATCATGTAAGTACCGTAAATCGTAATCAGACCTTTCAAGTTTCCCGCAATTACCGTGAAATTCACACATTTTTGTTTGCTTTCACGCATCACGCATGAAGTGACTTTCTTCCCGCATTTTTAAACTTAAACTTAACTTGTCGAGGTTTCTTCCTGTGAGACAATTACTCCCATTTCTTTTCATTTACACAATGTTCAATACTTCAATGCATTCTTTTTGCCAACGCCAGTACCCAGAAGTCTTGAAAATGTGTGTCTCAATCGTATATCAAAAAGAGACAAAAAGCTGGGAGACGCCTGAGGAGCGCTATTTTTTGCCGTTTGGGTAGGAGGCGCGACGAATAAAATTTCATATTTTTATAGCATGGACACTTACAAGCTTTGTGCTTCGAAAAAGGCGGAAGAAAAACCTCGGAAAGGCAATTTTCTGGCGATCTGGGAAACTCAAATTTCAAAATTTCCCCCAGGGCCAGGGCGCGCCAACTATGGTGGCACCTTGTCGACACTAACCTAAGGAAATTTAATACCTTCCCGCATAAAATTTTTCAAAACTTGACAGGTCTGCGTAATCAAATGCATAATTATTATATATTTATGCAAAAGTACCAAACACACTTGACATGTAGCAATACTGCTCCAACAACTTGTTCAACAGTATACATGTTAGCACTGCTTGTTGACAGCTTTCTACAAGGTTGTTGAGCTCAACCGACTTGTCACAAGTTGTTCTATAAACACTTGTCATTACATTTGTCAACATGATGAATGACAACTTTGTAGCGACTTGATAAAACAGCAGTGTTGTTATAATTTGTTGATAAGCTTGCTACAAGCCTGTTGCAAACACAACTTGTTGACACCTTGCAAGATTTTACGTGACAGCGAGTGTAATTGCAGAGGTCAATGATACATGCGTTTTAAACCAGTAAAATCTGCAGTTCAGCAATAGCCTCACCAGTTGCATGGCGCTAATTTCATCTACCAAGGTCATATTTCCAGCAGCAAACTTGACAAGAGATTCCTTAAATTCCTTCAATTGATCCACTGTCTCCCTCTTGGTTTCTTCATATTCATCTGGATCTAAATCATCTCTAGTGTATGAAGAGAGATCAGAGAACTTTTCAAAGATCTGTAATTACTGCAATAAGATTACTGTATGTAACTATAAGCAGACTTTACCCACAACATACCCATCCAGAGTTGGGTATGAAATGACCAGAGCTTGGGTACGGGGCCACACAGAGAAATTTGGGGATTCGGGGCAAATTTAAAGATTTGGGGCCCTAGTGATTTTCTATTGTCAAAAATTCTTGTTAAGTTATATGTGCCTTTTTAGAGACTGCATGATTTCCATATTTTTTAACGTTTTGGACAATTAGCAAGATTATTTCCTTTGGTTTTGAAGGTTTATACAGATACCGTATAACATTTTCAATGTGTGTTCTGTTCTCGCATACCCATTCTCCCTGGGCAGGGAAATTTTGAAATCTAGATTCCCTAGAATAGCATTTCCTACATTCTGGGAGAATATTTAACTGTGGTTTCTATGCATATTTTACTTTATGCTTATTTGGGTGTCCCCTTTAGCTGGGGCCCAGGACAAATTGCCACTTTTGCACCCCTTGCCCCTCCTTATGGGCTGCCTTGCTTGGGTATGAATGAAATGATCAGAGTTAGGGTATGGAATGTCCAGGCATTTGCGCATGAAATGATGGGAGTACAAAGACCTGATTTATACTAACCTACATTCTTCCAAGTCAGACAACTGTACCATCAACCTGTCAAGTTGTTCTTCAAGATTTTTCTTAAGTTTTTCAGTCTCAGACTTTCCTCTCGAGGCCATTGAAATCTTATTGGAAAGATACAGTCACGTTTAATTATAATAGTTAATGTCAGTTGCACAAAAACGAGGCTCTGTAGCCAAAATGACATATTTTCCAGAAGGGTATACTTAATTGTTGACTAACTGTCAAGTCTTATATTTTTGAGTTTTTATAGTAATTTATAACAATGAGAGACATATTTACTTTAATAACCCATTGAGTGGCAGCACTCTCAAGTAAAATCGTCTGGTGTTAGACAGAGTAAAATAACAAAGTAGGAAGCATCTGGGCGCATTGCCAATTAAAGGTTAACAGGGTGCATGGTAAGTGGCAGGCTGGCAGTACTCTCCCCCTGACAAGTAAAATCACCTGGCATTAGACAGAGTAAAATAACAAAGCAGGGCCCAACAAAAAGGCTAGCTAAATTCTCAGACCTCTTCGGACTATAAATAGTAGCCGAGAGTAGCCTACCATTAAATTCAAGTACATGCATATATCCTCGACAATATTGTGTTATTAAATGGCATTTAATAAATTATATTAACACGTATATACAAAATCTGCAGAGAAACAAGAACGTGTTACGGGACTTAACAGCAAAACAAAGCTTCCCCTACCTTCTATAATGGTAAAAATCGACAACTTGGCTCCAGAAATGGTCTAACTAAATAACAAAGTGTTTACAAACAGTATACGCTTGACATATTTACACAATATTTACATAATATAAACTCGGTATGATATCGTCGATTTCCGATTGTCACCGGGGGGGGGTATTCCACTATTCCAATAAACGCCCAGTATTAAGATGTTTCTTTTTTTATTTAGGTTAAGAGTTGTGTTACTGTAATGTTTTGCTATGGCTTCAAACGCCAGATTATTTTATTCGAATAGACTTAGGTTTGGCCTTTTTGTCAGACAATCGCTGAATCTTCTAATGCTGTCGATTTTGCAGTGATTGAGACCACGGCCCTTAAATTCTCCAGCCCGATTATTCCACGCGCCTGATTTGCCCGGAACGAGAACTCGTGGCCTTCCTTTTCCCACGTTGCGCAAAGAATCGAAAATTCTTTCAAGTTTTAAGGTAAGAAAACTGGATTTTTTCTAAAATTTTGGCCTATTCAGGGCCCGATCTTTGCAACATACATCGCTTATCGAGTCTTTATTAACCTGACCGGCTTTGACGAACGCGATTTAGGATTTCCAAGGTGTCTGGGCAAATTTTAAAACATGGCCTACAAATAACGTGTGTTTGGCTTTTTAATCATTTAGGGTAATTTTCATTCTATACCAACAAGCTTATGGGTAGAAATTAAAGATATGACAATTACTATCCATTACTTGGGGATAGTTATAAGATAGGGCCAGATTACCAAATAGTTTAATGTAGTGTGACCATTTGGGTTTCGTGATTTGGAATGATACTTTTGTTTGTATAAATAGTTAGAAATGGCTCAATTTCGCTCCACAGTGCGCTTAATAAAACTACCAATCCCATAAGATCGAAAGAATTTTGATAGAACGGTGTTTCTTTAGTGTATACTTTCAAAAGTACATATGAGCTTTGTAGAAATAGCCTCAAAAACGGGTGGGGTTTGCGAGATGTTCTACGAAACTGATCTCTAACCATTTACTGGATGGTGCAGCTGTTGAATTGTGTGAATAACACTGTTGAATAGTGATTGACCGATTGTGCAACATCGGAAATTACCGGTTATTCATGCCACAATCTGCCAGATACTGATTTTATAATGACGTTATAATATCATTCGACTGAGTGAAGGTGACATAATTCATGTCGATTTTTTCCAACGTAACATGTTACTGCAACCAAAGATCGTTACTGAATAGCACACTTCACTAATTCACGCTTTATTAATTTAACATATATATTGCATTAAAATGCAATGTGCAATGCATATAATTTTTAAAGTGTGTATTTTCTCAACAGTTGGTTTTAGACCATTGGAAATATAGGTAATTCTACCGATTCCGATTGTCTACCGATAAGACGAAAATCAGCCAGATACTGATTATTGGTCAATCGCTACTGTCAAATTCTGGGCATAACATTTTTTCATGATTCTATATTGCACAAAGTTTCTGTTTTCAAATCATGGCCGGATTTTGAGGGGAGGTGCGCATCTCCCCTGAGATCATTTTGCACCTCCCTTGCGATCGTTTTGCACCTCCCCTAATAATTTTTGCACTTTCCCTGAAAAGTCATGCACTTCCCCTTGGAGAAGCTTCAAAGTGAAACACATCATAAGAAAGTTTTACTGTAAAATTGAAACAGTGATAGCCATTCATCTCTGTGTAATGTTTTGAAAGAAACTTTGTGGTAATTTTAATGAAGGGCAAAATTGGATGAGTTGTGCAGTCATAATTCATTAATACACTGATCACATAATGCTATGTACACTACATGCATATGTCAATTTTCCATGGGGGTCGTGACTCGGAAGCTAGACCGCTGCACCTCCCCTAAATTTTTTCCACCTCCCCCACTACTTCCACCAAAATCTGGCCTTGTTTCAAATGTAACCAAACAGTTGCGATATAATAAGAGAAATATTTTTGCAATCAGCTACAGTTGTTTACATTCTAAAACTTCACTTTTTGACAAGTGAATGATCAATGTTGGTTGGTTAATACTTCTGTACAAGTACACCGGAAAGTTGACTTGCAAAGAACTTTTCATTTTGACACACAAATACACCTGGAAGTACCTGAATTTATCAACTTATTTTTAATCTACACATGCTTTTCAGTACTCTTCAGTACAATACGATTGATGCTGCCCGACAAAACTATCAACAAGTCTATCTCATCTATGAATCGAAGCACAATACTAATACAGGTTTTTTGTGGCTTTATGTATCAGTTTTGGTGTCCATTTTCTGCAGCAGACGTGTCTTTTTAGTAGCTGTTTTATATCTGGGATTTATGTGTGTTTCATAGTGTAACCTTAGATACTGTCCCCTAAATACACAATGTCCAGCTTAATGCAGGCTGTTATATACAGGTTTCCACTATCTACTGTAATAATAGTTTTTCATTTCATGCTAGAGATTTTGTCCTGATCGTTCACAATGGCTGAAGTGGATACCAATTTTGGGGGAGGGGAATCGGGAGCGTCAGAGACCTACCCCGCCCAGTGTTCGTCTCTACGTAAGAACGGCCATGTGATGATCAAAGAACGTCCGTGCAAGATCGTCGAGATGTCAACTTCCAAGACTGGCAAACATGGCCACGCTAAGGTAAAGCAATATTGTAAAACTACTGTATGTTTCATAATGTTAAGGCCAAAGAAAAAAACACCTGAGTTTCCTCACCCTACTTAACTGGCTACTGAAATCACAGACCCTAATCTTTTTATCTGAAGTCTACAAAGATTTTGACGCAATTTTTCATACCCAGTTTGTGTTGTTAGTTTCATACTATGTATATAAAGTACAACCTGTTTGTTTCAAAATTGATATAACATTTAATGAATGTTTGTGCCATCTCTACTGCCCAGGGGCGTAGGAACCGGGGGGGGCCAGGCCCCCCAAATTTTGGCAAGTGCCCTTTTTCCGGGAGCAGAGTGCCCTTTTCTTGCATGAAAAATGTCATTAAGATTGCATTTTTGTTTTGCCCAAAGGGCACTTTTGAAAACTTGAATGTACGTTATTTGCGGAAAATTTTTTCTACTTCTGGGAAAAATATCATATATCCGGAAAAAATTTTGGTATATCCGGAAAATTTTTTTCATATTTAGAAAAAAATGTGATATATCCGGAAAATGTTTTTTGTATGTCCGGAAAATTTTTTTTCTCCAACATTTCCGAGAACAAATTTTTAGATGCCTTTTTTTTTCAGAAAAGTGCCCCTCAAGCCTGGCCCCCCCTTTTAGAAGCTTCCTATGCCCCTGCTACTGCCATAATTGATGTAGAATATCACTTTATATAATAACTACAGTGAAACACGCAATTTGATTGGTCAATAGCCGTGCAGGATAGGGTCAATAGCCATGCAGGCTATCCTGCACGAGGAATTAAAATGCCTTCGCGGGATTTTCGCGGGATTCACAAAATGTCATTGTTTCACTGTAGTTATTTTATAAAACAATTACCAAATGGTTTTCCAAGCAGGATAGCGTGATCCATGCACTTGGGATGTTGCTCGACTTTCGGAAAGCGTAAAAATACACTCGCCTGCGGCTCCAGTATTTTTACGCTTTCCGAAAGTCTCGCGACATCCCTCGTGCATGGATCACGCAATCCTGCACGGAAAACCATTCGGTATTCCTTTACTCATGCATGCGCATTTTTAAAAAAAAAACTAAGAAAAAGAAAGAAAACCTTACCTAGGTTTTTGCAACGAGAAATAGGTTTACTCTGTCTAATGCCAGATGACTTTACTTGTCAATGGGAGATTGCTGAAACTCAATGGTGGTTCCAGCTATAGACTAAATTTTGATCACAGGCTGGTTATTATCAAGGTGGCAAACTCATAGTATTCAAAAACCATTGAAATACCAAGTGCTGTAAACATTTAATGTTGTTATCCTAATGTTTGAAATTTTATAGTATCCAGTAGCGATGCAAGTCATTAACAATACAAGTCATTAGCAATTTGATATTCAAATTTTAGTTTCTCACACACCGCTGGGAGCTGCTGCAGCGTCAGCCGCAAGCTTGACATTTATTAATTTAAACTACCATACATTACAAATGCTCGCTTAATAATTACCCTAACAGGTACATATATATACAATCCAATGCCGTTCTGTACTAATAAACATAAAAGGGCTGGGTGGGCGGGATACTGTCAAGCTACGTTGAGCAACAACAAAAATATGCTCATATAACCTGCACCACCCTGTAACACCCTGATTTCATCAGGCCCCCAGCAGTGTGTGAGAAAACATTTTCCGCTTCTTTCGTGCCTCAGCCAGCGGAAAATAACACTTCTCACACACCGCTGGGAGCTGCTGCAGCGTCAGCCGCAACCACACAACGCATAGAGTTATTTTATACAATTTATGCCTTCTGCATTGTTTTTGTAACATGAAGTAACGAGTTTTTTGACTCAACAATGTAATTGTTCTTTGCCTCCGCAGTACGCCACCCTCCTTGCCTCTGTAGCAGGCGGTCTGGAATACCCAGAGCAGCTGCAGTTGTAGCACCACCAGATCGTAAACTGTGAAGACCATAATCTTTAGCATCAAGACCTTCCTTCACCAATTCTTTCTTGAACAACTCGCTAGCACGGCTGTATGTCATAGGCGTACTCCGAAGTACCTGACCATATTTGGTACTCTGGATACGTCTCCAAATGGAGATTCCTGGCTTATGACGTCCCTTCCCCAGAAATTTCTCAACCACAGCTACCGGGCATGGTGCTCTGTCCGCTCTTGCAATCAGGACTTGCGTTCCTTTCCGGAACTGGTCATTTTTTCTCTTCTCCAGGTGAACAAGTAGATGGGTTGGTGCAAACTCGAGATGCTCAGGGGTAATACGACTGAGATCATCCCAGCGAAGGAAGCCATAGAATCCCAATGCAAACATCGCTGCTACCTGGAGATCAGCAAGGGATCCTTTCTCCAACCGTTGCACAATCGATTTAACTTGTGTGCTAGATAAAGGCTTTTTTCTTGATTTGGGTTTCGCTAGAATTCGCCTAGCTGCGTCAGTCACTTGTTTCACAACAGAATGTACGCTAGGAAGTCCATAGCCATTCTTTTTATGGATCCAATCAATGCCATATACTGCTGAATTAATCGACGACACCGATCGTCGTTGTTGTATCAAGGACACAATATACAATGCCAAGGCGGTCCCGTCCGCCGGAATTGGACATACGCCATGAGTACACGCCCAACGTTTCCAAAGCCTATAGGCACTAATATACGTTTTTATAGTGCCCTCAGCTCTGTCCTGAATGATGATACTAGGCAGCAATTCAGCCAGCTTCTTCAATTCTGGATCATCAAACCGATCAAGATCAAGCCAGTTTTCAACTTGAATCTCACTAGGACATGGCACTAAGAATAAATGAGACTACATGCACCAAACAATAACAAGAACAATGCAGATTAACCAACATAAACATATCTTATATTAATTAATCCCCTCAGCCCAAATAGCTCATATAATAAACAGTATCTATACACAGTACATACCATGGCCAACACAACCATGCAAACCTTACTACACATGCACACAGGTCAAACCGACCTAATGTTGAAACTAATACATGTGTAAATACAGTCTCGACAAAATATGCGCTGGTCAACATGACCTACCCTTGCTAGTCCAAACGACATAAAAGGCAATGATTTATTCAACACTAATATAAATGTACTTTCATCTACAGGTCCAAACAACCTCAGTAGATTTATGGTCTGCAAGAACAAGGCAGATTAACCTACATAACCATATATTATATTAAACCCCTCAGCCCAAATAGCTCATATAATAAACAGTATCTATATACAGTACATGCCATGGTCAACACAACCATGCAAACCCTACTACACATGCCACAGGTCAAACCGACCTAATGTTAAAACTAATACATGCGTAAATACAGTCTCAACAAAATATTCGCCGGTCAACATGACCTACCCCTTGCTAGTCCAAACGACAAATAGGGCAATGATTTTTTATTCAACACTAATATAAATGTACTTTCATCTACAGGTCCAAACGACCTCAGTAGATTTATGGTCCACACGACCTTGTGGGTTCTTTGGTCCAAACGACCTCCCACCACATGCTACTTGAATCGCAACTGGAGAGCCCGCAGCTCGAAAGGCGGCACACCCGCAGTAAATATATTGCTTGACAATGATCCTGATATAAATATGCCATTGTATGTAGAAAGTTCCAGGCAGCCTGTCACAAACGAGTTCCAACAACCCTGCTTGTTGATGAGCAACGGCCACCATGGTGCTGAAGGCCAGTAAGGGATAAGCAAAGTACCATATTCGTTATTGGCATTCATATGGCGCAACACACGAGGGATTAAGTATGGTGGAGGGAAAAGCCAATTGTTCTCACCCACCCAAGAAACGGTGAATGCGTCGGTCGAATCACAACCGGGGTTCATATACTTGCTTGAAAAACGTGGTAGCTGGTTGGTTTTCATACTAGCAAACCGATCATATGTGTGTGGGCCCCAACAATTGTCAATAGATCCAAATACTTTTGGATCTAACTTGTAATCGTCTGGATCATCCAATCTAGATAGGTAGTCCGCATCCTCATTCAAATCTCGACTGACCCACTCAACCGACAAACGAATATTATGTTCTCTACATACTTTGTAGAGCAAGATGGCTTCCTTATGTAGTTCTGGATTTCGACTACCGACTGTCATAATTCTTTCTGCACTTTGGCTGTCTGTCCTATGACGCACTTCCTTTCCCTCCAACTGTGGTGCCATTGACTCTAACACCAATCTCGCACCCCTTAACTCCCGAAACGTAGAGCTTTTTACACTCTCATTCTCCGACCAGCTGCCCACAGCTGTCTGCCCACCCAATTGAACTGCATATCCACCCCATGCCACATCACTGGCATCGGAATATGTCATCACTTCAATGATTGGACATGCAGCCCAAATGGGCTGGCCACTGTTCGAAAAGTTTTCATGCCAAAATAGAATTTCATTTCTACCCTCTTCGGATAAGCGAAATTTCTGATCCCAACTTGTCGACTGTTGTATGGATCTATAGAGTTCTCTAGTCCAGAGACGCACCACAGGACCAAGGGCCAACCCCATTGATGATAGTAAACCAGTAAATTGAGCAAGATGCCGTGCCGAAACCACAAACGAATTAGTCATAATTTTACTTAAGACGTCCCTAAAAGCCACAACACGCCTGTCCGGGACAGTGAACACACCTGAGGCCAAGTCTATCATGAACCCTAACAGTTCCCCACACTGAACCGGCTCCCACTGACTTTTCTCCTCGTTAGCCACGAAACCGCTAGCTTTTATGTCCTGCTGAACCATTAATGATGTTTTCTTTGCATCCTCATAATTTGACTCGGCACCCGCGCCATCGTCCAAGTATGTAAAAATCCTGATACCCTGGCACCTCCAGTGCTTGACTAAGGCTTTCTGGATTTTTGTGAACAAAAATGGCGCACTTGCCAAGCCAAATGGGAGAACCGCAAATTTAAAATATCTTAGTTGTCCGTTAAACCACCATGCGCATCCCAAGAACTTAGTGTGCTCTGGAAAGATGTCTATGTGGTGATAGCCACTTTTGTAATCAAACTTAAAAAACCAATCTCCCCTCGAGAATAAGTCACATGCAGTCCGGATGTCCTCATATTTAAATTTTGTGACACGAAGATGTTTATTTACATATCGAAGATCCAGGATTAACCGTAATTTCCCAGACGAATTCTGAACTACACCGAGGGGGTTGCACACAGTCAGATCAGGCTTCAGTACTTCCACTACAGCCCCTGTTGAAACAAGTTTTTGAAGTTCCTTTGTAACAAAATCCGCATTGTTAGTAGCGGATGAATGATTATTTGAAAATTTTTTCTCTGGTTGCTCAAGAAAGGGCAAACAATATCCATTACGAATAATATCAAGAACCCAACTGCTAGCCGCAATGTTTTCCCAAAAAGTCAGGTTCGACCGTAATCTTCCTTTAACAATAACCGATGAGTGTTCTCGTAAATTATCAACTATTATACTATGTTCATGAAACAGTTCTGCCTCTGTCAAGGAATTTGCCTCAGTTTGAGGAACTATTTTGGTTGGTCGTTGTAGCGCCCGAGATAACAAACCGGGCATTGGCTGAGCGGCACTCTCTGGCAAAGTGTCCTGGCTTCCCACATCGGAAACATGTTGTTCGGTTGTCCCCTGAGGGGGGAAAAACTTGCCTACGTGCTCTAAAGTTGAAGGGGCCCTGCCCTTTGACAACATTGGGAGTTGACTTGTCTGCTCCGAGAAAAGGCTTCTTAATTTTTACATGCGAACTACTCGCCTTTTTCTCATTCCGCAGTGACTTGCTCTCTTTTATCGCCCTCTTAATCCTTTTCTCATCCTCCGAATCGCTAGCTAAGGGCTCAGCCGAATAACATTCTACGGTGTCCCACCCATATTTATCAGCAAGTAAGAGATGCTTGTTTCGTTCCATAAGTAAGCTCTTACCTGCGCTAATTTCCTTCGACACTTCGTCTAGATTATCCGCGGCCAGCGCGCGATCCATTCTTTGCATGACTGAGTGATTGACGTCGTATTGTTTCTTGTTTCCGGCGTAGCGAAACTCGTGCTCGACGGCCCTCGCTGTTGTCGTAGAATCTTCGTTTGGTTTTCCTGTGACCTGCGACTTTAGCTTTTTTAAATCGACTGCATTTTGCCGTTGTTGGCAAAGCAGTTCTTTTGCCCACGCTGGCGGTTCCCTGGACGTCGAGTGCGACCGGCGCGAATGTTTTCCTCGAGTATTCCTTGCCCGAGAACGCGAACGGCTTCGACTCTCTTCCCGTGCACTTTTTCTACCGCTTCGGCGAGAACTACGGCTACGATCTCCTCTCTCACGACCACTAGATTTTGATTTACGCGAACGACTTCTTGATCGTCGGCGATCCTTGCTTTCGCGAACACTGCGCCGAGCACTACCAGCATTTTTATCGGCTGGGCTGTCTTCCGTTGATGAATGGCCCACATGGCCGCGAAAACTTTCCTCGTTATTTGGGCTAATCAGGTGTGCCTCGAGCCGTTTTAAGGCTCTCGACGACCTCTTCGGTAGTTTGTCACGTTTATCCATGGCTTTCGTGAAAGAAATTAGGTTAAATAGCCTCAATAAATTTAAATAAATCGCGAGCGAAAAAATACTGTCAAGCTACGGTGAGCAACAACAAAAATATGCTCATATAACCTGCACCACCCTGTAACACCCTGATTTCATCAGGCCCCCAGCAGTGTGTGAGAAAACATTTTCCGCTTCTTTCGTGCCTCAGCCAGCGGAAAATAACTCTTTAAAAACTTACCCTTCTTTCATTCAAGCGTTGGCTCTTTATCCATTGTCGAATTTCCAGTAAAAGTTTTTAGAATCCAGTCCCAAGAATCCAGTCTTTCACAACAAAATATATAAAACATCACAATAAGTCAATGACTGCACGTATTTTTCTCTTTACCACAGAATCGTTTTCCCTGTCCATCGAGTTATAATTTCCAAAACTAACCAGTCGTTATAACGTAAATTAAGCGGGTATTTGTGAACAAATATGCCCTTTCATGACACGACCTCTCTCCTCCGCAG